AGTATGTAAGGAAACTAGAATAGAAGTCACCAGCAAAATTTCAAAATAATTCCATGTTAGACAAATCTGCGTCACACTTGACTTGAAATTTCATTGCTTTTGTTGAAGTACTTAAAGTTGAATGAAACGACATCGTTTCTGATAATGCTTCGTTATACGATGTATCTCAGACCATAGCTTATTTAGAAAATGAGACAGAGTCCTACAATACAATCAGCCAATAATGCCGATATCGAATCAATATTTTTACAAAAAAAATCTCCTGCATAAATATTCCAGCTTAACTTACAGTGGATCACATTCTAAGCCTTATTTCACGATTCAAAAGTTTTTATTTGAAGCGGGACCCCACTGATAATGGTAACACCAAGATCATGATTTGCCCTTATCGATCATTTTCGCCCATTTGCGGTTCCTCACTTAAGTTCCATGCTTTGCATGGTTCACTTCCCAATACTCGTCATGATGGTAAACAATGGTAAGCATCTTCCCAAATCCAAATTACTTTTGGTTGCGCAATCACGGAAGAGTGTGTGCTGTCGTAAATAAATTCGCTTTGAAGTCAGAACATAAGACGTTGCTACGAAAGTACAAATACGTCAAGGGATGTGAAATTAAATTTGCCATCGCAAACTTTATAGCGTTTCAAAGATACAGCATGGTTAACAAAGTGCATCTGTGGCATTGTTTTTTGGACAAAACATAATGGCAGACATCGACATTCCCCAAAGTAGCCACACATTGCCTTATGTGCTTACAATTTCACTTCCCAATTAATCAAATTCTGGTCTGTGTACAAAGCAATTCAAGTTTAATAGCCTCTTAACCAAATTGTCAATGGTTGCCCGCCGAGCAGTAAAAAAAAGTGGCCGTCAGTGCAAAAATTTGGTTTTTCTACAGCAAAAACATTGAATGCTTCAGGGTGTGGATAACTTAAGAATCGTTTTAACAGTATATTTCTTTCAGTTTGCTAAAAATTTTAAGGTATCATTTAAAAAGAAGCCAGGGTTTTGACCACTGCTCTTTTGAAGGGTGACATAGTGAACTTTAATCACTATTTTTACGAGATAACTTAAGCTCGTGATTTCGACATTGTAAGCTCTCGCCTTTGATTTTGTTTGACCATTCTCTCTAGTCTCGCAGACTAATACATAGTAAGGAGAGCCACTAATACTACCACGTATCTTCCCCTACATATGTGGTACGTTTGTAAAAAATTGGGAAATCTGAGTAGATCGACAAACCGCAAAGTTTTTCCCACAATTTTCATGATATCAGATAATCACTAGTATTACTTATGTTCCTACACATACCACGAACGAAACCACAAAGCCTCTGCGCTTTTAATTATGCGCGGAAGAAACAGGAAATTCTGAGTTAGGAACTTATAAATTATCTCGTTTGATGTCAAGCAATTGAAAATTCGCAAAAAATACACAAATTTCTGTTTTTTTTTTCAAAGTTTATTTAAAAGAAGGCATCGCTGTCCTAGTAGCCGATTAGCATTGTGCCCGCTTCCGGCTTTTCTGGCTAAAGAAGACATGTTTGATGATATAACATTTGTGTAAACGAAAAATATGTGTTTCTGGGATTGAACGAAATTACAGTTCATTGTCATAAGTTCAAATGTAAGACGTCTATGCTAATTTTTCGTAGATAAGCCCTAAAAGCTCTACGGAAAGTAGGACCCGCGGCGCGTCGCACACAGAAAGCAATATGCTCTAAACCTCTACATCACATTTATCTACAAATGCGGGCGGGTGCGGGGCTTGCGGTGAGGGCTAGTCTTGCCAGGCCACGTGTTGGTCCTTCGCTCGGCAAAACCGTTCAAAGTGCGACTCATTTACAGGAAGCCTGGATATTTCCAATAGTAAATTGCATTTCTTCGTTAAGAATAAAAGTAGTAACTACCAGATTCCAGTCATCAAAAATTGTGAATTTTTAGGCCTATTTCAAACGTGGACTTGTATTCACTTACAATTCTCTTTTTGAGAATATTCTAAATAATATAAAATTGCAATTATTTCCATTCCACAAAAAAAATTCTTCTGCTGCTGATCAGTAGGATATTAAACTGTAAACAAAAGAAAGGATTGATCTGGCGAAGCGGCGAGTAGTTTATTCATCAGAAAATAGGCTGTATGTACAAATTCAAAACCCAATTGATCTGTCGACTTCAGGCACAGCACACGTGGGACCTCTTTAAACTACAAAATGTGCATATCCTCACTGAGATATCCGTGCCCAAAGCCGGATTCATCTTTCGTGCGATATCTGATGAAGGGAAACACCTTGTGGATTTACTCCTCTTACCTGACAATAAGGTAAGAAACATTTATCTTTGCTCAACTCACACAATTGAGTTCCCATGAAAAACGTAGTGGTCTAATCCACAAACATCAACTCTCTGCCATTCAGATCTCGCTAACTTTGCCGCTGAAATCAGGTTGGACACGGCGGTACACATTGCCATTGCCACAGCATCAGAATAAAGACGTAGTCCTGATAACATTTGAAAAGAAATACATCTCGATCGTGGTGAACTGTGTGCAGTTGATGATGGAAGCTATCGAGGATTTGAGCTTCCCGTAAGGTTTTGAAATTTCAAAGATTTTTGAATTCGTGGATCGTCCAAATCTAAAAACTTGTTGAACATATAATGAAATTTCACATAAAATTGAAAAGTCTATTTTTTGCATATCATCATTAAAGCTGAAAATTATGATTTTGATCC